ATCTTTTCTTCGAATTACCTTCATTTCGTGGATTACTCTGCTTGTGAACCACATTATCAGGGCAAAGACATGTAAACGCAATAGCAAGGATGTCCCTACTACCAAGTACACTGAAGTAATTTGGGTATTTAATCTGGTAATGCGGTGTGTTTTAGCAATAGTTAGTTAATCACTGCACATTTTTTTAGACTCATTCCAAATCAAAGTATTTTTGCACCTAGATTCTGTCTTTCTCCATCCAAAAGCAGAATTAACACTTTCTCCTTTCTATTGGTCGGAGGTTTTCCAACTCACTTTCTCATTTAATGTTTGATAAATAATCGTAAAGGACAAAAAGTAAGCAAATTTGTGTTTGGTAGATTATCTCTTTGTTGAAACGATACAACTATGCAATAAATATTATACTGTTGGAAAGGCTATTTTTATTTCCCTTTTAAATGGTGGCCCATTTGTAATGAACATCTATTTGTGGGACAAGCAGCAGGGCGTAGCATGTGGGTCGCGCTCATGTGAAATTAGCCAAATCTTCTCTGCCAATTGACTATTGTTTGGTGTCATTTGGTGGATTGAAGTCTGAAGAAACAAGACATATTGGCAATTCAACCATTCTTTCATTTAACAGGAGGCTTAGTAGCCTGCGGACAAACCGTACACAGCCACTACAACCTTGCTGGTCACACACTGCTGTGGGATCCCATCCCATTCCTCAAAAAGCATTCATCCAAAGTCAGACATTGTGGTTGGGTTGGTGGTCACTCTGGCACAAACAGCACGCCCAAGTTGATCCCACAAGCGTTCAATGGGGTTGAGTTCAGAGCCGCTGGCAGGCCATTCAATCGTCTCAACTCCGAAATTCTGGAGGTAGTCTCTGATGAGCCCGCTCTGTGGAGGCCGAGTCTTGTCATTTTAGGATGTATTATGGTCCCAGACTGTGGAGATATGGGATGGCCACTGGTTGCGGAATCTCATCTTGATATCTTTCTGCATTGACATTGCCTCCAAAAGATGAAAAATCCTTGTTTTTGCAGTGAGGGAGATGCTGCACCACACTGCATCCTCCAAATGTTGTGCAGCAATCTGCAGAGCGCTCTCTGCGACTTCTCTACCCTTTGACCCAAGGATCCAACGACCGTAAGCAGAATTTGCATTTCTTTACCTATTGCACGGACCAAATCCAGATCAGTCAAACATGGCACCTGATTGTTAGCACCTAGAACCACAAGCTCAAAACAAGAGAAAATAAGCGGTTTGGCATTGGCGAAGGAGATCTGTACAGGCTACAATAATAACAATGAAAACACTCCAAACACAATTTTATCTATTGTAGTATTAGTAAAATAAATATACTATGCAAATGAGTCATGTACAACTTGGTCAGTCTATCAAAAATAAATGCTATCATGGCAGAAAACACATCAAACAGCATCAGCAGATTGCCCTCAATCTAGTGATATAGGTTTTTTTCTTTTCTTTAGACAAAGCCTGTCAAAGTTATCCTGAAATACAAACCAAGCCATCGCAAAGCAAAGAAATATGTCCACATCTACACCAGTTCAAATCATCAGAGTCCAGGCTACAAAACGCCGTAAACCACATGAAAATACTCCAAATACAACTTTATCTAGTAAGGGGAGAGTCAAAAAATATCCCATGCAGATTTGTCCAGATGGTTTGGACTGAGCCGACAAAAGTGCCACATTTTATCGATGCTTCAAGCTACAGCGCAAACATTGGACCCCACGAACAGCACGAGGAGATTGCGCCAAATCCGAGATTTATGTGTGGGAATTGCTGCTCTAAAGTAAGCAAGAAATGCTAGCACACCAGGCTAACTAGCTTAGTGTTGTAGTTAGTGGGGTTATTGGGTATAAGAGTATCGACAAATTTGCAATGCGAGGGCTAAAAGTCCAGTTTTCAGGTGGAAATAAGAAACCTGTTTTTATTTACTTCTGAACTAAATTTGCTTTGACAAATCTCACCTGCAGTAAGGTTGGTTAATCGGAGGCTGACTATAAGTCAAAACTGCAGTATTTTTTTCCGGCTCCAGCCCTGTGCTTGTGAAGAAACGGCTAACTTCTAATCACATAAAGGTATGGGCAATACTTCCATCAACCATCATTACCAGCAAGAGGCTTTATAGTTTTACTTTGGCTGGTGGGTTTGTCTCTCCGGAAGGCTCTAGACAGCTCAAAAATCCCCATTTGGCTGCAGTGAAGACAGTGAGCGCTGTGTTGTCTGAATTAGCAGACAATGTGGCCCCTACAGACAGAAATAGCTGCTTCCTCTCATTGTGGGCGAGCCTCTCAACGCAGCTTTGTAGTCTCCATGGCGGAGCGAGCGGAAAGGTTCACCGGGAGGGTGAAGCAGACACCAGATCTGCATAAAAGACACATCATACCGTTGCTCTTTGGAGCCGTTTTGTGCACGTATCCTTTTACAGCAGCGCTATTGAACTGCGTGCTCATGAACTGTTCATCCGTGTCCTGATCCATATCAAATTTACTCGCTGATATGCATCCTGTGAGGGAAGAGAAGGTCAAGCGTGTTGACCGTAACAAATATACATATTGTATACATCATTTTTATTACACACATGCACTGTATGACCGTGGTGCACATATCATGATAGGTGTCGTTAACATCCACGGTGAGTGCTTGGTTTGACAAGCAGATGCATCATGCTAAGAGAGACGGTGCTGGGGGCTGACAGCTGCTAGAGGAGCGAGCTGTAGCCACAATGAAGCAACATTTCGACAATTGACTAATGGCTGGGCGTCCCAGTGTCGGTCCTCTACACTCGAGCAGACGCTCACACAGAGGTCACCCTAACCCACCACAGCTCACGATCATCTCAGCCCCTGAAGGCGTGAATCTCCTGCTGTATCAGAAAAATTCAAAACATTACATCTGCTGGTTTAAAAGTTGCGCTTCATTTACTGCAATTTGACAAGTAGAAGCTTGATTAACAATTTTGAAAATGAAGGTTTTTTTATTATGTCCATTTTTTACAACTTCACTGTAACTCCATTAGCTCCCCATGTTTCAGACGCATGCTTGGAACTTGTCACACGCGTTCCCAATCTTGCAGGTGAATAGGCCTCGGCTCAGGTTGACACACACTCAATTTACATGAGAAACATAAAACTTGGTTGTCCTATAAAAGTTTAAATCGAACAAGGCAATGATTTAGCCTGTTCTGGCTGAAGCAATGATCTGGCGAGGGAGACAAATAATCCCGTTTTTTCCTGCGTTGATAATGGTACACGTTGCACCAACAAGGTGCAAAAATTAAGGAAACAGTGTGTAACATTTAGGGGGCTCTGCAAGCAGAAATCGAATAAATCATAAAGTATTTATTGCGTGTAGAATTAGTTCGAAAATAATAGTTGCATTTTCTGTCCCTTGAAATTAGCCATTTTTGCTGCCTGATTTGAAAGTTTTTTTTATTAATTTTACTTTACTTACTTACGTACAATATATTATTTATTTTGGAACCAAACTCTGAGTGCAAGTTAAAAACAAACCCCGCTTTTCACCACAATACAGAAACTTGAAAAACGCAGGAACTCATTCCCCTAGGTTTTAATTATTTTTGGGGGCACGAGATTGTCACGGAACAAGAGATTGAGCTGCTCTGTCAAGCCGTGCAGGCATTTAGTCGTGGTGGGAGAAATGTTAAATGGTGCCACTATTCTGTGCCTCCTTTGGGTTGACTAAAAATACACAGAATCCATCACGGCATGCAGTGAGTGACTGAGGTGTCACTTACACAGCGTCTCTCTTCAAGCCCCCTATAACATGGTTGAAAGTTTGTCACACTGCTTCCCTTGCTCGGTCTCAAAATAGAGCGTTTATGAACAAAGAGAAGAGCTCCTGTGTGTTATAGCGGGAATACAAAGTCAACACAGATCAGTGACATGGTGTCAAAGAGAAAAAAAAAATAGCACTTTAGTCTCAGGATCAGTACGCGTTTACGCTGTGACGGGTCCTCGGCAGGAAATCTGTTCGGGATGAAATGTTGCTTTTCCTTTTTCTGAGCCTGACTTTATTTAATGTTATTTTGAAGCTAAACTCAAACTTCTTCATTTTTGCTTTTGATCTCCAAGTGAGTTCTCGGGTCTGAAAAAAAATCCAGTATAAAATAAATGATACATTTTAGCCTTTAGTATTTTCTATTCACATAATTTATTGGCTTTTATAGAATATAAAATACTTTCATATGGACATGGTTAAACATGTTAAATTCTCTTGGAAGAGTAATTGGAATAATTAAATCCAAAATGCTGAAGTAAAGAACGCCTTTGGGACAGGTCACTCATTTGTACACAACTGGACATGGAAATGGGAAAAACGTGAACCTTGGTAAAAAGGTTTCTAGTATGGTCTGGTCATCTTTTTTGCTCTAAAGAAATTTGGCCTAATTCTTAATTTAATCTAAAAAAAATGCATTCACAATCAGTACTTACAATTGTACATTTTCACAGCTGGAGGCAATTTGGTCATCAGCATAATCACATTAAACATAGTTTGTTTTGAAAAACTAAGTCCTCAAAATGTATTTTCTCCATTTCAATATTTGAGAAACAAAACATCCATTGGTTACATGTATTTGCACATGCCACTGTGGCCCAAAATATTTTGAAAAAAAGAAATCCAATGTGTGAAAATATTTTCATCTGGGTCACTTAGCAGAACAAAAAGTAGAACAAATTCTGTTGCTGCCTGAACGTCTTCATCCACCTCCTTATGGATTCTTTGGCCGTACCATCGCCATAGAGGGATTTAGACGGATTAGATGCCAAACGGCCCACTTTCATGTTCCTACTCTGGGAACAAAGTACAGAAATAATCTTGGGCAATCCATATCTGACCTGTAGAGGACGGAAAATAAAATGATGTTCTCCCAGCATTCTGAGAGAAGAAAGGTCTCATAGTGACCTCGTGTGGCCGTCCAGACACACTGCAGTTGAGTTTTTTGAAAACAAAAGACAAAACACAAGTACAGAGATACCTTAAATTTGTTTACTTAAATTAAAAAAAATGTACATCACATTATCCTTTACAATAGACATGTCTGTGGTTTTTGTTTTCTTCACTGTACATTTCAATAATCCATATACAAATTCCTCTCCGACAAAAATAATAGGAGAACTAAATGAGGAAGTCGATTGTCACAGATGACAAATTAATCGTCGTAATGACAGCAGTGCCCCCCCCCGGAACACTTAAATGAGCAATAAATGACTGTACCAAGTGTAACGACACTGACTGAGTCCATAAAACAGGACTCAATCCTTGAGGTTCCTAACATGTATTTACTTTTCTAATTGTCTCCAGTCAGGATCACAGGCTGAGACAGCTCACTCGTCTCTGGTACAGTCTGCTGTGCGCTTGAATGCCTTTTGGAAAACCCTTCATTCACAGGAACAGTTAGCGGGAATACATATTTAATACAGCAGCAAACTAGAGGACAACGCCACTGCTTTTGACACGCAAAGTGCGGCCTGTTAGCAGCGAGGTACACAGTGTAGCTCACCGCTCACAACATTCAACCCTACTGATTATACTGAATGGTACTTGGGACGGACTGAATCAGTAGCTTACTGCGGAAAGCAATCATGGGAGCATGTGAAAATGTATGTGTGTAACTTCTTACTGAACCGAAAGAAACCGGTTGCTACTGAACCGAAAGAAACCGGTTGCTATAGTAACCAGACTGAACTGGATGTAATAATGCCTAGATGTCCAGCGGAGGATGGTAATCAATAAAGAACAATCTAATAGTTTTTAGTTTTTTCTAATTGATTGTGTCGGTTTTTAGTGGCTTGAAATTGAGGTATAACAATTTGTGTTGAAACGTGGGCGTTTCTTGCGATTACTAACACAAAAAGCTAGTAATAGTATTAAGATATCTGAATATAAATGGTTTCAATTTACAATCATAAGGGGTTGGAAGGACTCACAGCAAGAGCTGTAGCAACACCATTTGATGTGTTACAGTGTATTTAGAGGATGATGCAATCCCTTAATTAGCTCAGATTAAAAAAGTGGGCAATTAATCAACGGAGGGCACATTGATAACTTATTAAAACTGAACAACATAGACTCAAAATGAGCAAAGTGAATAACTTCCAACTCCGGTAAATATCTAACATTAGCTAAAGCCAATAGCAACTGGAAATGGCTAGCATGGGTTAGTCCAGGAGGTTAAGCTAAGCTAGGCTAACAGGCTGCTAGCATTCGATTCATATGTAGCATCCAGAAAGGAGATTGGAATCAAACTTCTCATCAAGTTTCCCCAAAGATCTCGCTATTCTCTTAACACTCGTCACACGCTTTTCTCCAAAGTGCAAATTTTTTATTTTCATTAAAAAAAATTTAAAAAAATCGGAACTTTCTCTTTTCCTGCCTTTCTCTAACAATGGACAAAGTACACGTCAAAAACACTGATGTTGCCATTTCCGTCCCCCGTGACCACCGTGACTCTCACACATGTTTTATAGCCACTAGTGTAAAAAAGCAATGAGATGTCGGATAGGAAAATCAACATGCGGTTCAAAATACTGCTTTTTGTTGTCATGATTCAAGTTGCTATTGGTCAAAGGTGAGCAGAGAGTTTTTCGAGTGGTGCGGCGCCAATGAGAGCGGAGGCCTTAATTCAACGACAGCAGTCCAGTCTTCATAACTCCGGAGTGAAAGGGAATTCAAACTGGGTGAAGAGAGAAGAAAAAAAACGAAAAGAAAAACAACAAAATAATTTTTACAACCTTCTGTAAACATGAGCGTAGGCAGAATATGGCAGACAGAAAATTAAAGATTTGGCAAAAAGGAAAAAAATATATAAATTTCAGACATTTAGAAGTGATACATTCTGTGCTCTGAGTGCAGCCTTTTTGGGGTCTCCAAAGACCCCCAGAGAACTCAGACTGAACTCAGACTGAACAGACTACAAAAGGCTTTAGGTAAAAGCTTTAAGGATGACAATGAGCCATCAAATCACACAGTGACACAGCGTTAATTACTGATTCCACCTGCTCCAGTATCCCACAGGTGAGGCCCGTTCACAGATCAAATTTATTTCTAAACCAAAAAAAATAGAGAAATCCATGTGTGGGAAGGTAACCCGTTAACGAGATGCCCAAAATCACACTAAAATAAAAGTGTTTCTTTGAACTGGTCCGTTGCCTCTCTGACAACTTCATATCCAGCTCAGTTGAACGCTTAACTATAATAAGAGGACTCGTATAGACTTTAAGGGAAACCTTGACATTTGAAGTGCAGATAAAAGACAATCTATTTTTTTTTTAAAGTGTGATCTAGGATACTTAAATATAAAATAAAAAAAAATAAAAAGAAGTGCCCAGCGGGTGAAAATGAGCGGACTTAAAAAGGTCAAAATAAAAAAGTCAAGGTCTCCCCTCTAACAGTGTTTTGTTTACAGGTTGGAAACTAAAGCTTGCGCTGCTGGGCGTTGGGTGAACAGAAGCTTGGAAGGAGGAACATCTACTGTCTCTCGTACTATAATCGGAAGAGAAATGACCCCCAGTCCCATATCCCGCCTACATTCCTAACCCAAAACACACGGACGTGTCTGATGTAGTTTGGCATCATATTTCTAACCTATCAAACCATTCGGCAAGAACAAAGACCGGCTTCAAACTCGTGAACGGTGTCTTTAAGAGAAAGTGACGTTGAAATATTCTGTTCGATCTAGACTTGTATCCATATACATTTTATATTCTAATGTTTACAAGCTCTTACATAACAAGCGGGAGAGCAGCCGCATGTCAATCTCTGCTCTCTGTGGCTTTACAGATAAGTGAAAAAAATAGTAAAGAAAAAGAAAAAGAAAAAAAAAACTCAAGTAATGTGACGCCCTCATAGCGAGTATTGTCCTGGTCTTCTAGTTGGTCGGAAAAAAAAGGGACTTAAACAAATAACTCCAGAATTTACATTACTGCTTATGTGATGTGAAACAGCCTGAGCCGTGCATGTATACGAGCCAGATCAGCCAATCAGGAAGAGGAATGTTTAACATAAATGGTTTAGATTTATGATTCTAATACGGGAATACCAGGTAAGGAGGATGTGCGGGGGGGGGGGCCTTTGTGGCAAGTCACCTGCCAGCGTCAAGTACCTTCTTCTTTTATTGTCAGCTTGAATAAAGACAGATCAGCCTGTGGTTTAATACGAGGCGCTCTGACCCGCATTAGCACGCCGGGAGACGAGCGGTAGCTTTTAGACCATTTGCAAACACTGACTAACTATTTACCACTTTAGCTGGAATCCATAAAGTCTGCTCACTGCAATTATTAAATGGCGGGAATTGCGCTAAACGTTCCACTAAGGTGCAGGGGCAGAAATACCATTGATGGAGGAATAAGAGGCAGAGGCCTCTCTGTGTGTACAGATTGGGCCTTGCAAAGGGAAGCGTGGACGTGAGGAGCCGCAGTCGTCGTGCTCTCGTCAGCAGCTCGGGGACCAAGTTACTCGTCCCAAAGGCGGTTTGTTAAAAAGGGAAGTTTTTTTTTACCCCCAAAAATAAAAAAGGCATTTTTGAAAGAAAAGAGAAATCACGTTTCATTTACGCACGCTTACAGACAGCGAAGCGGATGCTGAACTCGGCGTACATTTTTCCGTCGGGGCGACTAAGAGGACTAAACCACACTGTTTGCTGCTGAATTGTGTCGAGCAAGAAGGGAAAACAAATCCCACAGTAGCAATGTAAACTAAGAAAGGCTCTGTCAGTCGAATGTTTTCACAGCTAATACACATGTATTTATAAAAATAAAATAAAACTAACCACACACAATGTTGTGGGGCAATGCCGCGAGCTGTCGATTAGCCAGTTGAACGATTAAAGGTTTCTGTTCTGATTTATATATTGAAAATTCACATACTTGTTCCTAGAGATATCTGGCAGTTAGAAGAACCTCTTTATCTTCTACTTGTTTTATAATATTCATTTGACGGCCGAGCACGATGTCAAGAAGTCGAGCACTTCTTGACATCTTCTTACCACAGTAGTTCCTACATCGACTAACCGACAGAGAAACAAACAGAGCCACTCGGCGCACTTTAAGACCATCATTTCTGCCCCCTCCCCTCACACACGCACGCACGCACGCACGCACACACGCACACAGAAACAAGTGAGTCAGGAAAGCAGTCAGCTGGCCAGTCAGGTGGGAGAGGAAGACCAGCCCCCCGGCCCCCCGCCAGCCCTCTGCTGATAAAAATTACACCGATCCTCACTCCTCCTCGTGAACAGTTAGCGGATTTCGCGAATGATCCAACACCCACAAAAAAAAAAGTGTGTGATGTGACTAAATCCCAACTACATGTAGCCAACGCGCCAGGATGTCCCCTCCGAGGAGGGTTTAGCCCCCCTCCCCCGATGAGGAAGCCAATGTCAATCACAGGAGGAGAATGAGGCTCTCGCAGATAAGAGGAGTGTGGTGGGTATCTTCCAGTTTCAAGAGGTTCTCTGCCCCAGACTTCAGCCCCAGGGGAGGGGTAGGAGGTATGTTGCCGGGATAAAGGCCGCCTAGAGCTCCGCGCTGGCTGGTGGTTTGGTGGTGGTCATGATCTTCATGTACTGGGTGAAGATGGCCTCGAAAGCCTCATCTCTGTGGATCATGGCACCAAACACCAGCGGCTGGATGGACCAGAAATGCTCGGTAATTAATATCCACAGCTTACATTTTGCAGTACAGTTAAATCACATGGCAATATGGCTTCAACAGTGAGGAATACCGTTTAGAAGACACCGGTATGACAAAAAGAACAGAGTCATACGGTCTCCAACATAATGTTTTTCCCCAACCAGACACAAACTAAATAATATTCTATGGTGAAACTATGGTAGTTCTCAAACATATACAACATTACCACGGCCAACTTGTGTGTACAGTACCTTCTGAGTGGATGGAGTAGCTATAGAGATGCCCATTCCACTCCCTGGTAGAACTGACAGCACCTTGTACTACAGAGGGAAAACAAGAGTTATTCTCATTTTTAACAGCGCATCATTATTCAGAGGAAAAACAATCATTTCAACTATCCTACATCATGGATAATAGGATTTCCTGTCCACTCTTTGCAGTGTTTACCTTTTGTATATCAGTGATGTCCACCAGCTTGATAACTTTATTCTTCTTGGAGGAGCTCGATCTGGAGCTGGAGCTCTCAAAGCACAAGTAACTGACGGAGAGAAAGGGGGAAAGCAGCCCGCTTAAAGAGGACAACAAACTGAATGGACTTATCTGAATGTGCTATCAGGTACAATTATAACCTGCTCCTCCTCTCAGTGTCACTCAGGAGTAACCATTTTACATAGTTAACTTTGCTTCATTGAACTAGAAAAACAGGATATTAGTTTGTTACAAAAGTCTACACCAGAGAACATTACTCCCACATAAATTGTTCCTAAAAGGAAGTAAAATAAATAAAAATAAATAAAAAGTAAAAAGCTAGTGTGTCTTTTAAAAGGGCTGTATAAAAATGTGCAACAGATTTACTTAAAATTATTTTTTAAACACTTATTAGTTGATGTCATGGTCTCAGTGTCATATTTTAAGCTACATCACTACACACTAAGCCTTACATTTAATACTTAATTAGATAATTAAGTATTAAATTAGAGACATCACTGGCGAGTCAGTTACTCTGCCTCATTTGGAACTCTGTCCCTCATGCAGTAAGACATTTGCAGAGAAGAGTTCTTGGGAGATTTGCACACTTACTTCTCTGTGACGTAGAGGACACCGTTCCTGATGTAGTCTGTGGGCATCTTCCGGTCTCTGTTTATGAGGCAACACCTCCAGCCGTTTTCACACACTGAAAACACACAGGCCAGAGAACCTTGAGAAGGCAGTTTGCAATCATGATGCTAAGGATTGGAAAACACACGGGTGGATGAAGCATTCCCAACATTAAATTGCTAAATATTGAGGATGAGACTCAATCACGCAAAATGCAATGCAGGATTTTTGCTACACAGGTGCATGATGGGTTTATTTTATGCTGCAGTAAATCCCCTCACCCGCCAGAGGGCGCTCTGACTCCAGCAGGTTGAAGATCTCATGAAAAGCACCCTTCTTGGTGCTGTGGGAGCGTCCCGTCTCCTCCTCCCTGCTCACCCCGCAGGGGATGGTGGCGAGGTTGCTCCTAGAAACCACCGGCTGAACCTGCAGAGAGGCGGAGGAAGAGGAGGAGCAAAAGGAAAAATAAAAAAAGACAGGATGGCAGGACAACACGAAAGAAACGGCATGAAGGAGATAGATAGAATCAAAGGGCACGTTGGGAGGAAGACGAATAGGAGGGGGGAGAATGAAAGGGATGATGAGGGAAAGGGAGAAGGACAGGGATAAATATTTAATATCGACTCTCTCCACACAACACATGTTTCCAGAGCTATGGGAGCTGCATTCACAGCTTAACTTTCAAAATTGCATTATGTGCTTCTATGCATGTGCACGTCTTTGCAGCAGGCTCAGGTGTGGCGTGCAAAGCAGAGTGAGGCCACCATTCACTCAGCGTACATAGCAACAGTTTATATGGCAAAAATGTGTTAGTTTGTGAAAATAAATGGGATTAGACTAAGTATGTAAATGTTTAGTTCAGAGGGATCCCTTTAACCGCTCAGTGCCCTTTCTGAGAGGGTTCATCAACAAAAACAATACGTTTCAGGGTTTTCATCACCATGTGTACTGGAGAAAGGGAAGGATTTACCGAGCTAATATGACATTACAGTGGTCAGGTGCTACTCTATGTAGCACTTGAACTATTCAGTGAACACACTGCTACTCCTCACAGAGCATCTATGTCAATGGATCAAAAATGTTAATTTGACATTATTGTTAGTTAATAACTTGCAAATGGATAACATGATTCAATTTAATATTAAACACATAATGATTAAAAAAAGAAAATATGACATAACAGACTAAGTTATTATGACTTTTTGATCCATTCCGTCCACAAACACTGTGTGCGTCACACGTCTGGGCCACACGCGCACACACACACACACACACACACACACACACGCGCTTTTAGGTGAGCTTGCGTCACACCCGTGCGCAGCGGAGGAACCAAAAAGGGAGACACACCAGTATCCCTACCTTCTCAGTGCCAGACAGCTGAGAGAGAAACGACAGAGCACACCTGTGACTGATGCCACAGCAGAAGGCACCAACACATTCTCACACACTCAGTCCTACGTGTGAGAGCGACGCATACAGGGCCAGCGGCTGAGTGGAGAAGTATTATTGACAGGACGGATCTTTGCCCACCACAGGGGGGTCAAAGGTGGTGGCGGGCAGATTGAGACCTTTTTAACGTGAAAGATTAAAGCTTACCTACACTTCAGGGACGATCTCTAACCAGCTCTAGCTCATCTTTAAGCACAACGTCATTGCAAAACACAGTTTGTGTTGACTCAGAATGGACTAATTCTTTGACAACTTTAAAATGCAGCAATTAGCTTCCGTGCTATGTTAGCTCGTTGGCTACTCACATAGCAATAAGCACCATTCTACGAATATATTTTGGTCGGATTTAGTCTTCGACAGGATTCAGACCGAGCAGAGTTGGATGGTCTGAATCTCAGAAGCTAACTTCAGAGTTAGATTCTGAGAAAAAGAGCAATCTGGGAGACCATGAAGGGAGAGGGGTGAGAGGGGGGACGTCACAGCGCTGATACAGATGTGCGTTGGCCCCCTTACCCGCCGAGACACAGTGGCGTTGGTCCTCTCCTTGAGCTGAGGATCAGTAGGAAGGCTGTTCCACACGATGAAGGGCGTGTCGTACTTATCCCGCAGCTTCGGACAGCTCTTGAACAGGAAATCTATGATGAAGAACTTGATGCCGGCGTACAGGCCTGGAGAGGAGAGAGCAGAGAAACAAAACACGCCATGGAGGAGAAAAAAAAAAAAAAGTGGTTAGCATAACAGAAGAAAAAAAAGGTTGTGAGAAATGTTAACTCCCTCCTGGTCCTCAAATAACCTTTTATAAGGCAGTCCATTTTTCAAAGCCTTTATCTCAACAAAAATCAGCCTTCGTTAGAACATATTACATTATAGAAGGCAAAAATGAACATAGCCAGAAACAACACATTAATAATATTACGAAACAAAAGCAAAAGCCTTTAAAGCTTTTGTGAATTAAATTCCAGCAGACCGACTCTACATCAAACTTCTTAAAAAAAGATTTCATCCTCATCAGACATTTGATTGAATGTCAGTCTAGTGAAATAGTTAGTGCAATTTATTTAGTTCCTGTGTTGTCCAATACCAGCAAACTAGAGAAATACAACCGGAGAATTCCATAAACAGATTCTCTGGCATGGCTATTGGACGAAAGAGGCATCCAATCATCATATGTGGGATGTTTTTATGGGAGCGATGACAACTTGAGAGTAATCGCATCATCGAGACGTGTCCTATAATGTCCAATAAAGAATGACCCAACAAAGTTGACTCCCAAATGTGATAAATAACTTCCAGCTAAATTTGAGTTAGGAATTGTTATGGTCCAACTCAAATAAAAAAACAAAATGGTAACTGTACTGGTTTTAACAATTACTTCTACTCTAAGCTTCCTCTAATGACGCACAAGGCCAAAGCGCCTTGAAACACTTTGTTTACGAGGAATAACAGTAACTAATATTGTCAGACATGCGTGCAAATAGCCTGCAGCTGCTCCTCACAGCGAAAGGGGAAAACTGCTGCATTAATGCATTTGTTTGTGTGCACTTGATTGTGTAGTAAGTATTTGCATTCTTTTAAGAGCCAGTGCCGCTTGTGAGAGGGATCGAGAAGCTTTGACGGTGTGCATCTCTCACCCATCATGAAGCCCATTAGCTTGTACGGCAGGACACAGGAGGTGATGAAAGCCATCCACAGGCAGATGTAAAGTTTCCGGGTGCTCTCCGGCTGCACCCACATAAACAAGCTGACAGGAAGATGGGCAGAAGAGGTAAGAGGCATCAAGAAATCTTTTTACGTATAACCGTGCATGATCAGACTTCCCCTTCTTGCATTCATTCTTTTCCCACTTACTTCTTTATCTTCTCCAAAACATCTGCCATTTTTCCAAAAAGGTTCTGTAAGGAGAGTTTCAGCACTGAATTATCCAGGACTGTTTGCGGATGTTGTAAGTTCCTTCGAGAAGAGACAAGAGTTGTGTTGTACCTGTGCTTTCTGTGCAACGTCAAGTACAAGTTGGAACTTCTCCGATACGGTCAGGTCTTCCTTTGGAGGCTCCTGCATAGAGCAAAGACCACATTTAGTACAATATAACATTGATCTTCTCCCCATGACACTGAAACAGGAAGCAGTTGAACAGGTGAGATTACCGAGGGTTCAGAGACCTCAGGCACAATGCTCCACTGGATCCTCCAACCTCTGGATGACAATGGAAGAAGACATGAATAATGGGAAACTAGCCATGACAGCAGTAACATAGTGATCATATAGTAAAATACCGGCTGCTTCTATAGAGTCTCCCTTTCCCGCTAGAGAGAAAATGGTTTTACCTGGCGATGAGGTAATTTAAGGACAAGCGCAGGATAGCCAGGAAGAGTAACATGGGAATGGCCCAGCCATGCCAAGCAGCATTCATGTAGATCTGCAGGAGAGAAGGTCAAAATATGATCAAGCCTTTTACCACCTGTGGCTTTATGCACAAGAAAAAGACACATTGATGACAAAAAAACACAACGACTCTCTTCACAGATGATGTGAGTCACTGCCATGGAGCTTTATAATGCTGGGGGAAGAGTTAATGTTAAAAGGCCACCTGTCAACACTACAGCGGGCTCACCGAGGTACAGAGATACCCGCGGCACGGATGGTCTTAATCACCCGCTGTGGACATTAATGAAGATCTGATTAGACCTGCGTGTTCTTTGGCAGGACCAATATAATCCATCACTGTGGAGCAATTACCATGCCATTCATTTCAACTCACTGTCATGTACACCCAAATGGGTTCAATTTATATCTATAAAAAGGTTTTAGGGTGTTAAAGCTGGGAGCTAAGCTCTAAGCGTAAGGAGTCAGCAATAATGAAAAACAAAAAGGTGCACACTCACAATGAAGGCAATAGCTGAGGTGTAGACGGAGTGCCAATTAGATAAGGCGGAGAGGTTCCTTAAGAAGTTGGTGACAGGTCTGGCTCCTCGCTCTATAAAAACAAGTTGAGTCTTCAGTGTGGCTCAGGACTAAAACAAAGCACCTATTGATACTCATTTCAAGTGTTCAAGTTTCAAATGTATGATGAATACATTAAGTGTACATAGAGAAACTACAACATTATGTGTGGTACTTAACCTTTGAAGTGCGTAATATAAATTCCTGTATAAAAGCAAGTTGCTTGATCTCGCGAGAAAATATTAAAAAGGCAACAACTGTTGAGAAATGTAATGTTTTGCCGACACAAGTCAGTATTATTACTCGGCTTCAATCCTAGTTTTGTATTTGATTGTGTGTTTCTTGAGTACTCACTGAGTCGCCTCATATTTTCTGTTAACCTGGAAGGAAAACACAAACACTTGAGGTCAGAACACAGAAGCGCTGAACACATGCACGCACACAAAATAAAAAAAACAGCAATACTAAATCCTGAAATGTGACGCAGTACAAGTCAACCACTGTTGGGCTGCACATATTGAGTACTCCCGAGCTCCCAGACTAACACGTGCAGAATCAATACCTGAGGACAGACACTTCCCACTATAAAAGCAGCGGTAATCTACCTTTTAGCACTGAGCGGTTCCTCGGCCTCCACGGTGCTTTCCTCTGGCTGGAAGCGGAAGTCCTCGATGTAAACCCCAAAGCGCTCGTACACCCATTTCTGAAGGCGCGAGCTCCAGACCTCCTTCTGCCGTTTTTCTGCTGGAAAAAAGGCACAGCAAAGTTCGCCATATTGGAGCAATTGCCTGCAACCTGCGTTGTAGCACCACAGGTACACATTTCTGGATTCAGCTCCCCTACAGTGCTCTGGTGACACTGATAAGTGTACAATAATCGACGGCTGTTGTGATAAGCAACTGCCAGAGGGGAGAATAAATATGCACCTTTTGAAAAACATAATGTAATTATGGGAAAATGACCAACTTTTTTTCTGCAACAGATTTATCATGAATGATTTTTGGGCCATTTTAAATTAGTAGACAAAGTTACCACAGTCCAAATGATTATTCTTACCCATCAGATCAACACACACACACACACACACACACACACACACACACACACACACACACACACATACACACAGACACATACACACAGACACACTCACACACACACAAAGTGATCTACAATCATAACCCATTTTCCAAAATTTTGCCACTCCCCCCCTCGGTTTCTGTTGCAGAGTGTCTTTGTTGCCGAGCACACGCACGCACACTGCATCAACCATCTCCCCTGCACGCTGCCGCACAAGCAGTCCTCTGGATTTCCTCCTACGCGCATGAAAGACGTCAACATCTTCCTCCCCAAATCATTTCCTGGTGTCTCCACATCTCTATCACTCCCCCTCCAGGAGCTTACCTGTCCCATTGTTTGACGGGGACTGCTGTTTGCGGGGAGGCAGAGGCGGAGAGTCCTCCAGCCTGGGTGGGGGGGGATAGAGAGAGAAGAGGAAAGAGTTGTCAGGAGTTTATTGTTGGTCTTTTTTTGTGTAACTGCAGTCCCACTGCAGGCCTGTTTCCGGCTGCTCGTGTTTTAGCACATGGCAAGTTGATGCATTGAATAAGTCTGCCTTGGGAGGAGTTAGCGGGTAGAGACTGAAGACAACGTCAGCCTTAATGAAGTCAATAATGGCATAAAAGAGTCCACAATGAGACCAAGGAAACGTACACTTGGGTCTTACTTTTCTATTATTAGAACTGAACCAAGTCCAATCCATGCATGTGTATGAAATGGAGCTAAACAAAAGCATTGGCCAGTTATATGGCATTAGTAAATGGGTGTAAAGGCAGGGAAATACCGTTAATCGCTAACAGTTTAGTGGTAGTCATAAGTCAGGCCAATTCTAGCTTGAAAAAGAATTCATGCATTGAAACAAGGACATTTGTTGTCCTTAGGAATTGGGGCATCGAGAAATTATTTGTTAATGTTTCATAATGTCCTATTCATTACATGACATGTGATTCAGCTACCGCTTTTCTCCAAAGCGACTTACAACAAGTGCATTTCAACCACGATGATTCAAACTCAAAAGAAGAAGAAACAAGGAAGCGCACTTTCATTAAATAAGCCGATTCACAACTTGCTATAGATAAGAGCCATTATAAGTACAATTTAAGTGCAATTCCTTTAGTGTTTTTTGTAAAGGTATAGTCTGTAGAGTTGCGTCTTCTGCAGTCCTATTAATTTCCTAATCATTTTGTGGTAGGTTTCTGAGCTGTAACATTCATTATCTTCATATAAAGTCTATACAATAATGGTGGTCTTTAGACACAAATGTCACATACTTTGCGTGAACAGTTAACTTGCTTGCCTGATATCTGAATCATTCTCAACACATCCTCCACTGTGAACTATTGCTCACTAACTCTTGGATGCTCACCACAGAAAGAGAGCACCTCCTTCTCTCTGCTGGAGGATACCGATAAAGGATCAACTGGAGAAAACTCCCAGGTCATGCTGCATTGGTTTACCTCGTTCTGTGCCGTTAATCACTCAGAGCCCCAGTGGAATTTCCTATTGGCAGGCACAGTAGCATCATCTGATGAAACACTCGAGACACACACAGGCACACACCACCTCTCCGGGTGTTCACTCTGTGCCAAGAGGCGCAGGCTTTTCCCTGACACCAGAAGGGCTACAGTATCAGCGTGCACTTGGCGACGCAGAGAGGCGCATGACGCCCTTCTGGTTCCGTCTCCCTCACAAAACCACACACACACACACACACACACACACACACACACACACACACACACACACCTCCTCATGGAATTCCCCACTTACGAAACTGCTGAGGCCTCTATTTATAATCAAAAGCCTTGGGTCGCACTGGGACCGATATATACACGGCTTACAACTTAAGACCTACGGCAAACTGTGCTGTGTAGTATCACCGTCATCTCCTTACGACCTCGCCACGCACTGGACTTTTTCTGCCGTACCTGGTTTTGAGAACATCGTTCATCTTCTGCTCCAGGTCCATCCTCTTGCTTCGCTCTCTGTCCAGCTCCTGCCGCAGAGAGTCCACATTGGTCTCTTCCCGCAGCTTCCTCAGCTCCTCCTCTAGAAAAACACAGCACAAAAGCACCAGAGATCAGTACAAAACATGTTTCATACGTAATCAAACTACCCAAAGAGCCCCACGCCTCACATTCGGGATCACTACTAATTTATATAACAATATAATACAACTATGAACTGGATAATAAAATAAATGGGAGAGATGTCTGAATTTGCTCTGCTCCATCATCTCCTCAAACTTCCCCCTCCCCCCACTCCTTCCTCAGTGTCTATAGCTCCCAGCACTTGAGTGGGTGCAGGGGCAGGGGCTTTCTGACCCTGCGGGGCACATCAGCGGGGTTTTCTCCCATCTATGGTCCCCAACTAAAGGGACAAATAATATGGAAGAGGCGAAGGCGATAAAAAAACGTGTGTGCGCATGCACATGCAGAAATTAATGAATACATGAGTACATCTACAGTATGTAGCCAAAGTCAAATCCTTCACAAGACACAAAATGAGGGAGATGACATGTACAGTATATAGAAAAACACGACAGATTGTAAGATTACAAACAGAACCGTTATTTTAACTCCTCAGGGCAGTACAAGCACAGGTGTAAATAACAACAGTTGCTCCACTCAGCCAGTGAGTCCTAGAACTGGCTCAACAAAAAATGGAAAGAAGCAATCATTCATTATTCCAAGTCAAATGGAAACACCATCATAGTGTGGATTTATAGGAAGTGCACCCAAGCGACATCATATGGCTTTGCTAAAAACGAAGAACATGTTATGCTGCAGAAGGCCGAGATCAATATCTGAAACACAAGGAACAGGACGTGAACCAGCAGTAGCCTCATTCTTTGAGGGGATAGAAGCAGGGTTCGGTCCCTCTGCAAAGGAAAATGTGTTCCTCCCGATATCATTTCATCACACAGACTGAAGGCTTCATATTTCAACAACGTCGCCTCACTTTCTCATCACCTGATCTTATAACTCACTCATCCCGCTATCACTGACGAAACGCCCATTGCCAGCACCTCCTGCTAGTAATGCATCGGCAACACCATGGACTCTCACTAAGTAAGCATACACCGGGCTTCCCGTACGTCTCGCTCCGTGGGAACATAGGAGTGTGTTTATGGTACAGTATTTGTGAGTAAACAGGACACACAGAGCTGGTGAGTAAGAGTACGCAAGAGGCCGGGCCAAAGGTTGCTAAGCAGCTTAGCACCGGCTATGTTGCCCTGTGCCAGGGTTCTCTCCTGTTGACTATAAACCTTTTAGACAAAATGACTCACACCGCCGCAGGGGTGCACCCTGGGTAATGTAGGCAGGATTAGGTCAAAAAAAAAAAAAAAAAAAAAAAAAAGACTTGCTTCGAACTGACCAGAATATATTCTCTACATTCTCAGTAATATTATTGGAGATACTTTAACAAATTATTGCAGCAGTATATACTGTAAATATTACTTAGACATTATTGGCATATTAACTTTTTTTATATTTGCAATCAACTGGCCGCTTAGACATCTGTCAGGCAACGTACATTCCTGGTCATCTGCGGTATGCATTTCAGATCTTTTAGTTGTGTTTGCGTGACCACCCACCCATGAGGGAACCCTTCAGCAGCTTAAACGCTAGGTAGAATGTGCAGAGTGGGTATATGACAGCTGAAAACAACAAGGCTGATGATAAGTGGCGAGGCCGAGCAGAAACGGTGAGTGGGCCATTAAACCCAAACAAAGGCTTTAAAGACGCAATAAATCTTGCGGGGCTGAAGCTAACTGCAGAGTCAGGGCGCAACTCCCTTTGCGTCCGTCATTACAAGCAACATAGAAGGTAATCATTTCATCCATTGTTAATGTACAAATATTGTCTGGTGCGGGTTCGGTTACTTCACTCTTTGGTTGACAGACTCACCAAGTTGAAGGATCAGCACGCTATGAAGACTATTCTAAAAGTTGGTGATTCCAAAATGCAACAAGAATTGCTTGTTCATTAGGAGAAAATTGAGTCAGTAAACTATTCACAGCCCAATATATTTGTGTAAATGTGGTTTCAACAGAGGATTTTCAATTGTAGTCCCATTTTGTGGTTTACAGCGACTGCATTTTTACCTACAACATGGATACACATCCTCTCCCCTCCCTTAATCCTCCATCGTTTCCTTCCCCAGAACTGACCAATTCCTGCCAGAAAACACCAGAGACGCCTCATTCCAAGAGTTCATACTAGTGTTGGATGTGCGACACAGTTCAGCGTGACACTATGTGCTTCGTGTCAGACACTGACAGAGTACAATTATTTCCCTGTTGCAGAGCCTCTCTCCAAAAGGGAGCATATTAATACAGTCAACATGCCCGCTCTGCTTCTAAAATCAGATTTCCAACATCTATATATAAATATTCAGCTGGTGTCACCATATCACAGGGTCTCCACTAGCCAATATGGGGGCAAGTAACTAGGCCATTTAGCAGCAACACTAAATGCCCAGCCAGAAGATGACACCATTAACAACTCTCCCATGCAGGCTTACCAGGACACGGAAAAATGGACTATGAAAAAGCCTTTGATAAGAGCTCCACATGTTATCTGCTGATAATGATTGGAATGCAGAAGATGCACTTTACTACACACACCAAATGCATTCTGTATCAGATAAGGTCAAAGTTAGAAGACAAAGCGGGTGACTGTGTAATTGAAGACAAACTATCTGAGCTTTCAGATATAATCTTAACATTGAAGTCAAGTTTGTCAAATCTAGACAAAGTTGAATCGCTTATGTAGTAATCTTACTAAAAAGTAGATTACACTGAAGTGGATGGTTTTAGTGAGATCTTCGAGAAACTTCAAAGAACATTGTGAAAAAATGTATGACTCCTTGATTAGATTATGCCTAGATGTGTTCTATGAGGAGGCAAAGGTTAAATTAAAGAAATGTGGTGTCACCTTTGTGCACCGGAGGTGTCACGAGTACGCAGCAGCAAACATGGCCGCGTGTCATGACAGACTTCCTCTATTCTCAGCGACAATGCTGATGTGAAAGTTGTTGAGCATTTACATGTTTTAGATCACCCAGTTTTTAGACACTCATTTTCTACTGGGACAAATAAGAGTTTCTTTAAATCCTTGCAGAGTTGGACTTTGTTGATCATATTTCTAGAAGGATAGAGTGCACGTAGCCAAAGCATCTGACATCGCGCAGTTTGCATTTGACTCAAATGTCCACGCTTACTGTGGGGTTGCTCACATGAAAAACTGCTGTCTACCTCTATGTACCCTGTCGTATGCAGTACAGTGGGGGTACCAAACAAGCCCGGCTAATGTACAGAGGTTTTTAACATCCAAGTTTTCCAGTGCAATAAAGTTGAAATGCCCGATTTGGAAGCGGACAGACTTACTGAGGTTGAGGTTACTTTTGTGGCTTTTCATCTTATCAACAGCTCCGCTGTAAAGGAGCTCAAAGCCGTCAAAGGTGAAGTCCTCCAACTTGCACAAAGCCATTCGTCTCTGCTGCCGGCCGGTCCCCGGTACGCTTGTGGAGCAACGGGACGGCAGAGTGGCCGCCTTGGCTCCTTCTTGAAATCCAGCCATGGCTAAAAAAAAGGTTCTCCTGGTTGTTTAGCACAGTCTGCCACCTGATGATCTCTAACCTCTTTAAAACCCACCAAACCGGACAACTTTGGCTGTATGCTCCATGTTCACAGAGCAGAGGTCAAGGACGCGCTCCTCTGTCCTCATCGGTCAGCAGCCACACAGGAGACTGTTCTGAGAGTGCTGGTCAGTGATCGGAGCTGGTCCGAGTGTATAACGCAACAGGTAAAGAGAGAAGTGGGGCAGCAGAGGGGGAGAGAGGTGGGGCTTTGCTGGGTGGCCAGCAGACTTAGAGGGCCTGGAATCCGAGATTCCTGGACCCACCGGGGCTGTCAGACACACACACACACACACACACACACACAAATGTTCAAGTGTCTGCTCAGATTGATTGGAGTGGCTGTGTATGTATGTGTGGACGTGTTAGTGGCATTACGGTTTGTTGGGGTTTATATTTGTCTACAAGAGTGTTGGCTTGTGTGTGTGCGCGCGCGTGCGTGCGTGCATGAGTACTGTAAGTACGCAAGTGGAGCGAATCGCTCTATATCCAAGCAGGCAAAAGTTTAAGACCTCAAAAGGAAAAGTACTGTGTGAGTTGCTCAATCCAGGCCAGAGACAATGGCTCCTTTCATTAAAAGGGACGGTGGGGGCACAGGGGGGGGTTTAATGAAAGGGAGACAGAGAGAATCAGCTGCTTCGCATTGGCCTCCCATTGTTCCCATTCTCTACAGCGTGCCACAACACTGGTCGATTTGTGCGGAAAGGACGGTTGGGAGCCTTCAGTCGATGGGCAGATGTTAACACGATATTCGAAACACAGAGGGAGAGGAGGAAGGAGAAAGGAGAGATGAGTTAAAGGACACAGTGGGGAGTCTGACCCGGCCAGAGAGGGTTTGAGAAAGGCCAACATATAAATAGTCTACATGTAAGGCTGTCACTACACCAAAAAGAGACTTCGATACAATACCACAAATAAGATACGGGTATATTTAGCTTTAATAGTAAATTTGTCAAAATTGCTTCATTGACTAAATATTTTCTGGTTTCATGTGTTTTTTTGTGCCGTCCTCTATCTCTCAAGACTCCGTGCTTTGACTGGCTATTTCGTTTTTGATGTCACATTGTGGACTAAATCAGCATCCAATACTGATTCACGGTAAGGGTTCATAAAGGGCCCTAAAATGTCTAACCGAGGGCCTCACTGAGCGATTTAAACCCTCAAAGAGTTAATGGGAGTGCCTCAAAATCCGTAGTGCGTAGGGTGCAGATTGGGATTGGGCGCATGTCTCCCACGCGATCACGCACTGAGCAGCCCCTCCTCCTTGCAGTCAATGCATGCAGGCACCACGAGAAAGAGCAGGGAGAGCGCTTTGATCGCTCGCTATTTTAAAGTATAGGTAATAAAAAGATAAAATATAGTATTGCGGCACCTTTTTACTATCAATACACTGCGCAACCCTAAAT